GTAGTGCCTCTCAAAAATCAAGGAGGGATAGGGGAGCAGAGGCTCGCTGGTACTGTTGCAGCTCATATGGAAATCACAAACACTGATCAGAGATTAGTACAAAACTTTCACTGGTTTGGAATGGAGGAGCAATTAAAAGAATTTGGCCAGAGGGGTGAAGGAGGTCAGAGGCAAGGGGATTGCAGTGACAAAATTGACGCCAAGCTATGTCCTTTACCTGTCATTTTGAACTCAGTCCATCGAATTGGGTTAGACCGAGTTGAACTGTTGCTCAGAGTTACCCTGAGGGGAAACAAATTCAGTCTGAATATCATTGACTATGCAGCATGTTATCCTGAAGCAGTTCCCCTGAGAAATATTGAGACTCAGTCCATTGCAGATGCTCTGCTGAGGCAAATGGGTAGCATGAGGTTTGCTTCTGAGCTCGTGAAGTTTTTAGGAACCTATTTCCCTTCCAAGATGATGCAGGTAACCTCCCAAGTGAATGAGGGAGATTACATCAATTGGTTAGAGGGAAAGACAAGCAGGATAGTGCACGAGGGGAAAATAATCAAGCCCTTCTATGGGAAAGAAGACGTTGTCTTGTTAGCATTGAAGGGAGCTGACAAGGAAAGACTTGAGTTACCTTATGGGGAAAGGAGGGGTGAACTCAAATACACCTCAGAGGAGGATCAAATCAGTCCCTCAGTTTCACCAGAACAACAAAGAGAAGCTATAGCCATGCCGATGAAGTACAAGCAGGTTTTCTCCAACAAACCTGAAGTAGCCAAGGGTGTAGTGCACAGGTTTGACACCGGAGATGCACGCCCACAGGTGGTTACACCTTATAGAGGACGAACCTATCTAGTTAAACTTTGGGGACAACAAGCGAAGTTCGGTCAATATAAGAGAAGGAAAAAGACTCTGAGAAAACATGCATGGCCATATTGGGAAGGAAGATGGGTGACCTATCAAAAGCTGAATAGGTTGAGACGTAGCCTAACCCTGCCAGTGGTGCAAAATGCAAAAGGATTGAGAGTTAGGCTCAATCTTTCTAGGCTGTACCTAAAGGGTTTAACCAAGAGCATCCCATTAGCAGCTCCAGAGGGAGAGGTGAAACTCTGTACAGCAGCTAAAATTACATGGAAGGAAGAGAGATGGAAGACTGCACCGGTGGCTAGCTGCATATGGAGAGGTTCTGAGTGCCGGAGAGGTGTCACCATCGTGGAAAGGTCCAGATTCGAGACAGCAGTCGTGCTGAGCCAGGTGGATGACTGCAAGATCCTTCATCCTAGGTAGTTCCTGAGAGGGAAGCTGCAGGTTGACGAGGAACCCCAGCTGTCAGTAATCCGTGAGTATCATGAAGGTGCAGAGGAAGGTGGACTTCATCATATCTGAAGCTGCGCAGGGGGGTAGGACGTTTACTGTATGAGCACTACCACTCCACCATGACTACGGTTTTGGACTTTCGAAGAAGACGAAAATGTGGTGGTGAGAGAGAATTCATATCATAAAGCTTAGACTGAGAAAAATTAAAATGTGGACAAAAGAGACTCATAATGTTGTGGCAGACGCCCTGGCGATGCGCGCCAAAGACTGAAGAAAAAGAAGGAAATAGACTTTGGAAAAATGGCAAAAAGTGATAGAATGTGTAATTACACCTTGTTAAATGTTATATAATGTGTGTTCAAGAAAAAAAATTGTATGCAGTTATTAAAAGTGTTAGGTGATGTTGGGTAAGCACCTGTGTAGATGATTGAAGTTGTGAGGAACGTAATTGAACTAATAACGGGATTACAGAGTTAATGTATAGCAAGCATATAAGTTGTTTGATTATTACTTATGTTCAAAGGTGGTAAGTTTTGATTGTAATGTTGTGTAGTAGATGGTTAACTACTGTAAAGCTCCTCATTGTTCATGAGGGTAAAACTCTATACAGTGGACCCTCTACTTACGGAATTAATCCGTATTGGAACGGTGGCTGCAAGTCAAAAAGTCTGTAGGTCGAATCTCCATTGACCTACAATGCATTGAAAACCGATTAATCCCATAACTGGCAGTTTTTATTCTATTTTTGTTCCATTTTGGTTTTTTTCTGGTCTGTAAGTCGATTCTCTGGCTGCAAGTCGAATCTAAATTTTGCAGCCAGAGAAGTCTGTAACTCGAAAAGTCTGTAAGTCGAGCCGTCTGTAAGTCGAGGGTCCACTGTAGCTTTTACCCCATGAAACAACTTTTTAAGGGTGGAGGTGTGTAGTGAACAGCATTGCCCTCACCTGTCTGTCACAGCTGAACAGTGGAGAAGGAGCCAATGAGAGGACGGAAGGCAGAGCCAAGGGTGGAGGGAGCTGGATATAAAGGCTGGTGGATGGAGTCTGAGAGAGATTCTGGAAGAGGGAGACTGTGAAACTTGAAAGTGACCTAGGAGTGAGTTAGAGATCTGTGAGAACAATGAATGGAATGGAGAGTTAAAAGGAGTTTAAAGTTATAGCAGTTTTGATTCAAATACTAGTGATTATCAAACTGTGATTTACCTATTGAATATTAATCATATATTAACTTCCCTGATCTAATAAATGACTTAAATTTTAAAAGCACACATGTCTCCATGATTAAATGGTATTAAAGCAGAAATACCTGGTGGCAGCAAAGAAAGAAGAAGAGTGAGAACCTCGTGAAGACCTGGGGGGATAGGGGCTTCAGAGGAGATCACCACATCAGTCTTTGTTGTTTTTAAGGAGCCAAACGCTTTTTACGGCGCTCAAAATGTCAAAAAGGGATACGGGGTGTATTACATTGTTCTGAGAGCATACTGTATCTTAGTGAAGAAAGTGGCACAACTACAACATGCATTCTTCCCTGATTCCCCAAATCCTGGGTCTCCTGCCTATTTATCTGATCTACAGCTACATGTAGAGTAATTATACTACCAAGCAAAGATGCCTATTATTAATGTATTCACTGTATAATTCAAAATATATCTAAAATAGTTAATAGATATATGAATGAAACCTTTCTAGACTGACACCACACTAAGCATTAAATTTTCTTATAAAAACTGTCATGACTGTGAGTTATATGATTTAAATCATGTAACTTGAATGATTTATGTAGTCAAGAGAAATGTAACATGGAGTCAAAATGGTTCTGTGTAAGGAACATTTGAAGGACTTTAGAATGTTTTCCTGAAGACGCTGTGAGGATGTTTTCTGCAGACTGGTCCAGTGAACACTCAATATTCCAGTCTAATTGGAAGAAGAAAAACAACACCTGCATTCTCATGGGAAAGAGGGATGGTGAAAGACTTTACAGCCCCTAAATTCTAATTGGTTAATATCTGAATATACAATGAAAAGGGAGGAGAGTGGAAAGGTTAAAAAATGGAGATTGTGCTATGAGCATAGTTCCTTAAAACCTTAGTTCCTTTTTAGTTCCCGTTTACCTTTTTCCTTATGCTAAGATGAAGGATTAAAATGTAGAGAATAGGACAGAGAAGGGGGGGGCTTAACTCCCTTTGTCTACCCTAAAGAAAGCTTCTTAAATATTTTTATGTAGATGGGAACTTGTTATTCTATTTAACTGCAATACTTTTTGGATATGTACTCAAATGCTATGCTTATGCATCAAACTAAATTCTTATGAAACTTTATTTTTTCAATAAAAAAATTAATCGTAAAATCCGGGAGATTGGTCTCTTGAACAGCAATTTATCTGAGTCTAGAAGATGGAAAAGGCCACATGACTGCTACTAGACAGAGTCCAACGCTACTGAGCTTTAGAGAGCCTTAAGGGATCACAAAGCCCTACTCAAATGCTATGCTTATGCATCAAACTAAATTCTTATGAAACTTTATTTTTTCAATAAAAAAATTAATCGTAAAATCCGGGAGATTGGTCTCTTGAACAGCAATTTATCTGAGTCTAGAAGATGGAAAAGGCCACATGACTGCTACTAGACAGAGTCCAACGCTACTGAGCTTTAGAGAGCCTTAAGGGATCACAAAGCCCAGGTGTCTGTACTTTCTAAATAACAAGTGTAGCGAAATGCCAACATGTGACGTCATTTTAGAGAGCCTTAAGGGATCACAAAGCCCAGGTGTCTGTACTTTCTAAATAACAAGTGCAGCGAAATGCCAACATGTGCGTCATTCCTGCCTGTCCATCACAGAAGCTCAAGAGGGAGGAGCCAAGGATAGGGCAGGAGGGGCAGAGTCAGAGAGACAGTTGGGAATGTGGAATGGCTGTTAGGGTTTAGAAGTGAGAAGAAGAAGGTTAGAGAATTGAGCTGAGGGTGTTAGGAGAGGGAATTGAAAAGGTTAAACAATATTGAACAAGTAGGACTGAAGTTATAAGTACTATAAGAGAGATATTGATCAAAAGTATATAGGAGTTTGGAATAAAAGTGATTGCATACATAATCCAATCTGTGTTAATGTCTGGAACAGTTCATACGTGATTTACCTTTATGATTTATTTGACAATAAAAGAATATCTGATTCCTAAGTTCAATAACCCTTAGTGTTGGCAGCTCATGTGTATAACATAACTGGTATTAAGAGAATACCTGGCGGCAGCATGAAGGAAAAGGCTGTGATCCTTTGTGAGAGCCAGAATAAACAGAGGCAACAAGGTAGATGGCCACACCAAGTAAGTGCAGAAGTGTTCTCTTTAGGTCAAACTTGCTAGAAAGGATTTATGCTATGCTTTACTGGTGCTTGATTGGACTCAGCTCAGTATAAGGAGGTACATAAAGGCCTGGAGGCTCTCTGACCGAAGGAGCAGTGTTCCCTAGTGGGAAGGTGTTCCTGACAAAAAAAATCTTTATTTTTACTGGAACTTGATCTGGTAAGGATGGGATGTGGCATAAAGAGGCTAGATTATAGTGAAAAGGTAATGATGAAATTCCTATCACAAAAATTTGCAGTAAGAAAATGAATACTAAAATGTGCAACTTTACAGAAAATTGCAAAAAGTTAGATTTCCGAGGCAGTGTTGCATTTCTTAACATGGCAAAGCCAACAAAGGAGAACTCAAAAGTTTTTTATTTTCACACTACTCCATGAAAATAAAACAAAAACAAAAACACAAACTTTTAATGGGGCTCTCTGAAATAGTACACATCTTTTGAGTTCTCCAGAAGTCTTCATTAAATTACTGGTATAACCAAATGGGGAGGGGTAAGAAGAAAGGAAGTCCATGAGTCTAGGCAGTATTGTGGTCATGAGGCCTGGTGTCCTAATCTAATCTAATCTAATTTAAATCCAGTTTGGCACAACAGAAATATGAAAACCCTCAGTAATTGTATCACATTCTTCTAAAGTATCCGTAAACACATGGACAGGAGAGATCAGAGAGATATTACGGTACTTATTTGGACTTCCGAAAGGGTTTCCCCAAACCCCACATGAAGACTGAGCTCTGCAGTGTGTTGATAATATTCCAACATGATGTTACCTAGAGTGGAAAAAAGGATTATGAAGAGCTCTGAAAGGATATGCCCAAAGTAAGGAACAGGACATTAAAATGGCAAATGAGATTTAACATAAGCAAGTTTAAAGTGCATACTGGGACAAAAAATTAGAATCCAGTGTACGATGAACTGGCAATTTGCAGAAAGAGAAGATGGGACTACCATCTGGCCATGGCTTCCCACTGTCTCGTAATTACTATTCATGAGAACAAGTCCATTATTCTAAATTAGACACAGCAGAAACAGAAAGAACAAAGTGCACATTTATAAGAACACTTGCATTATAAACAGCCATTGTGATACTCTACAACATTCGCAAAATGTAAAATATATCATCACTCTACAGAGCTTTGGGATGGTTTCGGAGTTCGATCTATCTTCTCATTAATCCAGTCCACGTATTTTGTGAGTTTCGTATAAACACCAGGCTTTCCAGCCTTGCTGCAGCCATCTCCCCAGCTGATAATCCCGTACAGGTAAGTTACCCCATCCTTTACACAGGTCAATGGTCCTCCAGAATCTCCCTGTTTCAAAGACAAAGAAAAACAGTCAATTGTCTCTCTTCTGAAAAAGAACAAATAATGTGGACCTTGGCATCCATTACACACTTGAGGAGGTTAACAAAAACTGCCAAAAATTCCAGGGAGCCCAACAAAAAATATTTGAAATATGTTTTTTTTTAATTTGAGTGAAAAGTACTCATGTGCTTTGTTCAGGCTTGCCATGGAAAGCAATCCTTCATTTGCCTGGGGATGATTTGAGCAGTGTTGCAAAAAAGTATTGAGATTTTCCTGCCTGGATAAAACTCTACAGCAGCAAGTGTTACCTGATGCCTGCTCAGATTCATTTTGAAGGTAGGGTGCTACCAGTACTCCAGTCTTTTCAGAGGTAAGGGAAGTGAGTGGATTCCGCCTGCAATTTCTATGCTGGCTTTTAAGACATGGCACTGTGCATACGTACATAAAACCAACAAGAGCAAAGTTGTTCGTTTTTGATATTGTACTTCTGTATCTTGTATTTATGCATCTTCAAGTTCTTCTGGAAGATAATTTTTTTGAGGGTAGGATAGTTATATGTGACATGATAAAACTGCCAATGTAGACTTCATTTGCTCATCCTCCTGTGTTTGTATGCTTCTGTGATGGCTCAGAGATTACTTGTTCACTATTCTGCTTCTCTTTCCACTCAAGGCAATGTGCTTGTTTCAGACTGCTGGTTTGACAACTGCATGCAGCTCTGACTGATGTGTCTTCAGAAAACAATGTATGGGGGTTTTACTGAACTTTTCTGTATTGTGCCCACATGAATGTGTTGCTTTAGACGTTTGTGTGAATGTGCTCCTCTGTGAAAAGGTCTCATGTTAACCACTGCAGCAAGCTCTTAGAAGAAAGGCTCACTTTGTTTGAGTCTGGTGCTAACTGTGGCTTGCTTTCAGAAGATGGTCACAGAACACTTTTTCTGTAGAAAGGGATCAACCAGGCAGAAATATCTAAGTGTGGGTTGAAAGAAGCCCAAGGAGAACTTTAGATTGGGTTGAGGAGGAAGAACAGTGATAAAATCAGTCTACAAAGAGATTTTTCCTTACATGCAAGCTGAAGACATGAGGCCTCTGATCCAGGCAGAGTCCACACTAGGGAATGGGGTTGAAGCCACTTGACCTTTCAAGCTACCACTACTGAGGTAAAACAGCTTAAAACTCTGCTGGCCACAAGAAATAACAGTGTTTGGTCATGTGGTCTTCCTTATATACAGTATTTGAATGATTCAAAAGGAGTTTCTGTGAATCCCTTTAATGCCACTAAATGGCAAACCAGTAATTAGTAACCTTTTTGAACACCCACATGTACATTTTAAACTCAAATTAACAGAAATTGCAATATTTTCTTACAATATGGCTGATAAATTAAATTTTGAGTTAAGTCTAAAGAAACTCCTCTATATAAGATCAGAGACTCCTCTATATAAGATCAATTTAAGATATCAAAATGAAAACAAATTAGGATGAAATGCATAGATATAATAAATAGTAGTTAGGAGAAAACATTTTATTATCACATTGTGTTTTGGTGCAGGCTCAGTCTTCCATCATCTTATATAAATCTAATTTAAACAGAAACTCAATAGTATTACCTGGCAGGCATCCGATCTGCCATCAAGGTAGCCAGCACAGAACATATTGTCACTAAGTTCGGCTCCATAAACATCATAGTTACGACACTTGTAATCAGGTATTATAGGAACTGATGCTTCTTGTAGTATGTGAGAATAGCTGGATGCATCTTTTGAAATAAATCACAAAGAAAGCAGTTCACCATAACTATGTCACACAGAGTTACATATTGGCCAAAATCCTATTGGTGTTCATGTCATGTTTGCATAACTTGCTGCGGCTAATTGTGACTAATTGACAAGATGTCAGGGCATATCTTGGCTGTGTGCTGGGTTATTTGCCCAATTACTCCACGAAGACATGCCTTGGAACCTCATCAATTAGCCCTTCAGCTGTGACACGTCATGCAAACATTACACGAACACTAATAGCACATTGAATTGTGTTTTTCAACTGATATAGTGTTGTATTTAAGATTTCAAATATTTATAAAAATCAAGGCTTCAGTGTTTAAGAATGTATTTATGTATTGTCACACACCCTTAATTCCCCTGTGTTCTTCCATCCAACCCAGGTTCACTTTCAGATGTGACATTTATATTTCAACCCTTTTCTGCTGCCACCAGAGGATTTCTCCTCACCCTATCAAATACAACTCTTCAATCAGTGTGATTCAATTAAACAATGTTTATTAAACTGTTCACAAATAAGTCATGTAAAGTAAATCATGGATGGTCTCATTTTATTCATTCAGTAGATTGTGCTTTGGTAACATTTATATTTGTTTAGTTATAATCATTTCAATCAAGGTATTTATTCATTTCTTTTCTCATTCCCTATCTCTCTATTACTCTTCACTAACACAAGGCTGGTCCTAACTGCCTAACTTCTTCTCTTTAACTGAGGTCCCTACTTCATTCCTAACTGAAGTCCTCTCTAACTCTAACTCCAAACCTAACTCAGACCCTAACTGTCATCCATTCTCTTAAATATCCTTAGTTCTGCCTCTTCTGTACAGCCATTGGCTCCTGAGTCAGGGTTCCATTGTGATGGACAGGAGTGGTTCCTGACCTGTCCGTCACATGTATTTAACTGTACACATATCCAATCAACTTTGAACCATTTCACTGGGTCATCAAGAGGATCACTGATGTAGAAAGGGGCATCACTCAGTGTTATTTTCCAAGTCAGCATATCCTAATTCCAGAGGATTCCCACTGAATTCAAAATGTTCCTTTGAAAAGTGTCCTGGAAGGTGGAGGCAGAGCTTGATCACAGTGAAGCTAGCAGCTCCCGGCTAACAGCTCCTGGGAGAAGTTGGAACCGCCCGGCCTGTCATCCCTCTAGAAAGGGGGGGGGACGGAAGGGGAGGCCAAGAGAGGTCACCCCTAAGCAGATGGTGAGCCTAGAAGGTAGAAGATTTGGCAGCAACTGGGTCTTTCTTCCCTCTGAAATTTCACCCAAGCACAGACCAGAGATGGGAGGCCATCTTATGGCAGAAAGCTGTGGGAAAACTCCACCCCCAATTCCCAAAGAAGGAGAACAAAAATACGGCTGAAAATACACAATAACAAAGTAAGTCTTTGATTTATGAACAACCTCATTAAGATGTTAAAGAAACTAAAGTGAAAATACCTGACTGAAAGGAGAGAGGAAGCGGCGAGCCGGCATGCCAGCCTGTGTTTTTTCCCCCCAAAGTGAACTTTTAAACAACAAGTTTACAACTAGCAGACTGGCTCAAGGTCAATGAGATAAGACAGTGAGATGGAAAAAGTTTGTGTTTCTGGAAAAAAATCCCAGTGGAAATATTACTCAACAATCTTTAAGGAATTGAAATCTTTTTAATGCTGTGCAGTCTGGACTCTTCTTACTGTGATGAATTTGGTTATGAAAGCTAGAAAGTGATTTACTGATGGGATATGTGGTTATGAAGTTAGCCTAAAAGAATCCATTTTGGTCTCTGTATGCTTGAAAGTGGAAAATTCCAAAAGGCAGCTTTGCTTCACAGAAACTGGTCAGGCTGACCTGTTACCTTGTTACCTAGTAACGGTGGCCTGGTACAGAGAGAGCAAAGACATAACATTCCAGGAGCTTAGAATGATAACAACTTGAGTTCTCATGAGAAGATGGGGTGGGACAAGTTACTTTTTTCCTTACCCCTGATTGGTTGTTAGCTGTAAAGAAGAAGGCGGGAGTAAGTTGCAGAAGGAGAGAGAAAGTGAACATGGATGACGGTTGAAAGACACAGAAGGGACTTCTATCTGTTTGATGGATTTTAGTAGAGGATTTTCCCTATTGGACTGGTGGATCTTGGGTTTTCCAGAAGATTAGTATGTTCTTGATTGGACTATAGACAATGGGATTTACAGTATTATTCTAAGATGTAGATTTTTGCTTAAGTTAGAGGGGAAGCTTGCCTTTCCCAATTTCATTAGTTAGAAAGTTTGTTATGTTTGTTTCTTCTAGAGGAGTTCAGTTTCTTGTCTAACTGGATGAGATGGAAATGTACATAGATGCCTTGTTTTGCATAAACTTTATTCTTTCAGAACTTTATTTTTCTAATAAAACAAAATATGCTTAAGATCTGGAGTTTGGCTTCTTGAATAGAACAAATGCTACAATTGGTTACAGTGGACCCTCTACTTACGGAATTAATCCGTATTGGAACGGTGGCTGCAAGTCAAAAAGTCTGTAGGTCGAATCTCCATTGACCTACAATGCATTGAAAACCGATTAATCCCATAACTGGCAGTTTTTATTCTATTTTTGTTCCATTTTGGTTTTTTTCTGGTCTGTAAGTCGATTCTCTGGCTGCAAGTCGAATCTAAATTTTGCAGCCAGAGAAGTCTGTAACTCGAAAAGTCTGTAAGTCGAGCCGTCTGTAAGTCGAAGGTCCACTGTATTTGGTTTACCTAAATGGTTATTCTTTACAAGGCCACAGAAAAGTAATGCTACCTTGGGTCCAGAATATTCCTGGGTACTAGGAGAATTAGATTCCCTAGAACTCACGTGTATATCTTGGTTCTCAAAGAAATCGGGTCAGACTTGGTGCATGAGTGAAAGG